GAAAGAAATCCTCACACAACAAGTTCTTCAAACTTGCTTGAAAGTTTTTATTCAAACTCTGTATTGATATTATATAAAAAAATTATCAGAAGAAAAAATGATATTTCTTATTCTAATTATTGCTACTAAGCTAAATCTGGGTAGGTTTAATTCATTTTCATCACTTACCAACTTGTCATTGGCCTACTTATAGAAGCTTTCTTGTACTTGGATCAAAGTGCATACTCATTTTCATACTTTATGATTGAAATAATTTATAATATGCTAAAATTGCAACTATCATTAAATTATCTATTTACTTATATCACATGAAGCAAAAAAAATAATTTGATAAAAAAGTGTTGATTTTTCCAATAAATAATAAATTTATAGACTCACAGTAATGTAATATAAATTTTGAGAGTAGAAAATAAATTTGAGAAAATGCTAATTTATTGCATGATTATCTAGCAATAGATCATATGTAGGAGATTTTTCTGGGATAAGGGAAATGAGATATAGTTTAGAACTCGTTAATAGATTTTAGAGCATATGAAAGTGATTGTGGTTGATATGTTCAAGATAAAAACAACAACTATAGAATTTTGTAGTATTATGCTTAGTTGTAGGTAGTTCATTATTTGAAGGAAAACATAGTTCTAATTTTGTTGATTAACTTTGACGAAACAATCAAACTCAAGTTATAAACCAAAAAGATGATAAGAAAAATAGCAATGTTTCTTTTGGTTTGCAACATATCTTTAATGCATAAAAATGTTTGCACTCAGTGTTGATTTAGGATTCATCTCACACCTTTGAGTTTGAAACCTTATTATGTGCAACATGATTGCTTATGATAAGGCATGCGTAATTTAGGCGATTATATGAGGCCACGTCTAAATTACCTAAATGGCCCCTGTTGTTGTGCCTAAATTAATGCATGACTGTATAGATCCATCCGCGTTAAAACCTCACACGCCATAAATGTTCATACAAAGAAAGTGTTGTCAAGTAGGTTTGAACGCAACGAACACGTTCGACTTCACGAGAAAAAGTTCGCTTATAACTTGGGAACGAGTTGGGAACTTGGACATGTTCCTATGACACGGCAAGTAGATACAATTCACCTAATGAGCTTGAGCAATTTTCCGATGTCTCCATCACTATTATTGATTTTCCAGTTCATCCAATCCCAATTGTCACATCTCTATCTCTCTAATTCGGTATTTTCAGTCCCAATTGTCCACTTCACTATTATTGATTTTCCAATTCATCCAATCCCAGTTGTCACATCAATCTCTCTCTAGGTCAGTATTTTCAGTCCCAGTTGTCCATGTTTAGAAATGGACAACTGACCTCTTGGTTCATCCTACAAGCTCATCCTTCAGGCTCATCATATTGTAACGGCATGACAATTCTCTTGCCCAATCAGAATAATGCATTTACAATTAAGTTTAACTGATTATGAATATGAAAAATAAGTAAGTTTAGCTTTCATCTTGATAATTGCACCTTAAAGTTATGTGCCAGTAACAATTTTAATTTCAAATACAATCCCTCATTTTGGCAGGAAGACCTCCAGAGTTTCAAGAGTTCTAGATCTTCAAAGTAGATGCAAGGACAATCATCAAAGATACATGTAGTCCATTCAAGTTGAGAAGCTAGCCTGAATTAACCTTTCTTGACGAGCCTATATCAAGTTAATTTATATAATTTAGGCGACTAACTAATAGAAGCATGCCTGCTTATGAACTTTTGTTCTCTCATGAGCAGGTCTCTCTATTCTAGGACAATGTCCTATTCCTCCTATTGTTGCTAAAATAGGACACGAGATGGTCCTTACAATAGAACACTCTCATTAACCCGGACCAGAGGCAGAGAAAATAAGTGTTTTCTTTATGGGATCGCTAGAAACGGTACTACAGATGTTTTGCCGCATTCCAAAGTGCACTATACTGCTTGGTGTACATGATGCCTTCCAAAGCAAAGTCTGTCATAGAGGAACAATATGAGTTGCGACGGTAACACATCAGCGAGAAGTCACCCTCGACTCGACTCGTCGTTGGCATCACTGTCACGAGACCCGCCATGAACTGCTGCAACTCTACGAAGCGAGAACCACATAGAGATCAGGACTTGGAGAACACGCTGCGCGTCTTGGATTGCAACTGCGACAACAGCGCCGATTCTTGGTTGGTAATACGAATCAAGTCCTTGTGTTGCCGGCAAATAGTCTGCATAAATTCGGACCCGAAAGCCGACCGCAACTGCGCCTTGTGGTTCGCAACCAAAGAAACGAAGTCCACCACCGATGTCTTGATCAGCTCCAATGGCAGACAAGGTGGAAGAGGAGCCGATTCGCGACCAAAAGACTGCCTGCCCGCTATCACCTTGACCATGCCGATCATGGCTTCGAGATAAAGAACTGCACAACCACATAGCACTCGACTCCTGCAACTCGCGTCTAGCTCTACATTAAGCTCGGCAACATCGACGTCGATGCCTTGGAGTAGTAGCTCCAAACCAGCAACAGTCACCGTGAACTGTACCTTGGAGACAGTGCTACCGCCAAATGACACTGGCACGTCCAGACTGCGAGACTCGTCTCGCTCGGCGGAACATTGCTCCTGGAGCTGCGCGAGAAGCACGCGTAGGTTGTCGTACTGCTTGGAGACAACATTGGACTTAACTTGAAGGGCGTCAAAGATGATGTTCACTTTCTGCAGGAAGTTGTAGACAACGATGGCAACCAGCCACCATTCCTTCGGCGGGGCCGATACGTATCGCTTCTCTTCGAAGAAGCTGCACACCGTGGATCGGATGATGAGCAGCCACTTCAGCACCTACAGAAAGCAACATATAATTGATTACTTAGCCAACCAGACAGCAAAACACACAAGCAGTAACAAACACACCTTCAACACGGACGTCCACCTGACATTGATGTAGTAAGAACACTTGCTCCCCATTCGGCGAACTAAAGTCTCTTGTCGCCGCAGCCAGCCGATGATTGTGATCAAAATGCTCATGAACGGGAAACCACCCGTGTCAGTGATCGCATGCAACGCGGCCTTGATGATGAGATCCAGCTGATGGGCCAGGCACCATACTCGGTAGAATGCCGGCCCGCTGACAGCAGTGGCGAGCTGCGATGTGAATCCAACATTGTAGCCTGTTATGTTTGGCGCTCCATCGGTGGACGAACCAATGAGCTTATCCTTCCACATTGGACAGAGAGCATCAAACACCTTGACGAAGAAGTTGAACAAAGACTCTCCAGTGTGCAACTCTTCGAACAAGGGTATCGCCAGCAGGTGGAACGATAGAAGATCGTCGCCGACCTTGAGATCCGGAAATCGAATCCGCACGTCCAGGTGAGAGTTCGCAAAGTCATATGTCAATACATCACTCGCCACCGCGAATGCCCACGACTTCGACATCACGTCCGCAATAATTTGTAGGCCAACGGCACATACAATTCGGGAAAAGCATGAAGCCTCTCCATCCGAAAGGCAGCCAGTCTTCGACGCACAGCAAGCCGGTCGCAGTTCTCGAGTATTACTCGCGAGATCTACCGGAACGAGAGCCCGGCGGCGAGCAGGGACACGACATAGTCGAACTGCAGCGGATTGGCGATCGTGATTTTGTAGCAAGACACTACCTTGTACCATCGTCTTCGATCACGTACTGAGGCTCGAAAACATCCATGCCACGATCGCCACGAAGTCCCTCGCCGCCGTCGTCGTCCCGCGGTGCGGCCGGCATCAACAACTCCAGGATGATCACGTTGATGATTCTCTTATCGATTGTGAAGATGCTCTTGCGGCCAACAACCGTGGTGCGCTTCTCGAAGAAAGCATCAACCGTCGATTGCTCGAAGAAACCCTTGAGAACCTCCGGCGTGGAACTGGCCAGCTTTCGCAACGCTTCGTACTCTTCAAACTTCTTAGGGTGCTGCTCCTGCATGTGCTTGCGGATGTTGTCGCTACGAAACACGTACTTCCAATGCTTGTTATTGGTCGTTCTCTTCCGCTTGCGTCCATCGGCGACTTCGTCGTCTGCGACCTCGCGGCCCCAGCACTCGCAAAAGCGATAAACAACGGCTTGAACAACGCCCTTGTTCTCATCGTGGGCGATCATTCGCAAGCCAAACTCGAGTTTGAACTTATCTTGGTAAGGAAAAGACCGTGCCGTCTGTTTTCTTCGAGGCGGCATGGTGCTCAGCAGGAATCAACGATCAGCTTGACGCGAACATAAGCTCCGTTGGGCTCCAATTGCTGTACAAGAAAGTGCGACCGGAGTGCGACAACTGCGCCACGCACTTGTTAAAATAGTACACAGCGCCAGCCTTAGAATAGGACATCGTCGTATTATAAGGGGATTGTACTACTTTAAAGAGGCCTGCTCATGAGTTAGAGGAGAGCTATCCATATGGCATGTAGGAATGTGGAGTTTGCTATACATGTAGAAAGTATCTTGCATGTATATCTTGCATTAACTTGAGTGTTATTCTTGGAATAGAATCAGTTAAGTCAAAACATATTTGACTTCGGAAGAGCAAGTTACTATTCATTCGTCGTGGTCACAATTCCTACTAAATAGCCTCTACGGTTCAGAAGAGAGGAGTGAACAATGTAATCTATTTGAATATTCTCCAATGCACCACCTCTAGCTTTGTTTCTCTACTTTTGGATAATCATGTATGAAGTTTCAAAGTTGTTTGCGAGAATGACTTACATGACAGTATACATGAAAGCCTCTTGTATCATCTACTTCCATCCATTGTGTGTCCATATGCATGATACAAGAAATTTTCCAATTTGTTGCTATCGAGGTCTAGCCTCATCAATTTTGTTTACTTTCATATACTAAAGTCTTGATAGATATTCCGTCCGATATAAATCATTGGGAAGTTTACGAACATTATAAACTAGATGTCCAGGACAGTATAATGTACTTCTAGTTTATAATGTGAAGGACAAATTAGAGAGATTTAGCTTGGAGAATATCCCACTATTGCTGAAAATGCCAACAGAGATAAGTGGTACTGTCGGTACGATGAATGTATAAACCATACAGAAGTTGTCTGTAATTGAACAGATTGGAGCAGTGTGCAATTTTCTGAATCTCTGGTGACTATTAGACTGGTGGATGAGAACCAGTGTTCTTCTCCCTGGATTTCACATGCAGATTGGTAAAACTAGTCGATAATTCCAGAAAACCTGTTCAGTGGCACCGTGGTTTCGTGATGTTAAGTGCTATCGAAGCTTCGATACTTCGAAGCGCACGACCAAGCATGCTCAATTTAAAATCACCGCTATGTATGCTTGTCGTGTTTCCTTTGTAAACTCACTGTACATTTGTTTTTCCGTTTTCTTTTCCATCTGTTTTAAATCAGTCGGTCAGTCTCGTCTAATGTTTCCAGATGTCTATTAACAAGTCTGTGTACTTTTGTTGATCCAATTCAGTTAGAGGTGCATCACGAATTTCGATTTTCATAGTTCTCTTCTCTTCAAATGGCTAGGATTGTCACTGGTTGTCATAAGCCGGTCCTACTCATCTGTTGAAAGTCGACGAATGGGATCGAGGAATATCAACGAGCTGGAGCCAAACTCATGAGTGCTTACAATATGGTGAAAACGTTGCTAATGCGATTTGCTTCCCCGTGCAGGCCTTTACGCAGTCTGGATCAGGTTGGGGACTTGCTTTTTCTGTGCATATTGATTGATGATTCGCTGTTGAACTCAGGACAGATGCGAACAAATATCACCCGCCGAAATTGAGAGGACCTTTCTAAGATTTTACGAATAAATCTTTTGCATCAATTTGCGAATCGACGACCTGGACGGCATCATGAAAGTAGTAGTCAGCGATAATTTTCTGTGAATCCCACGCTTCTGGCGAGCAAGGCCTCTCGGAGTTCATGTGGCACAATGCAACTCTTTGTTTTCTCCTTATGGATCATTGTTTCCCTGAAGGTGTGATTTTTGGAATTTTTTTCTTTTTCATTAATATCGGTCTCCATCGTATTTTCCAACACTGCAACTGGGTAGAAAAGATGTCATGTCCTCGCGAACCTCAAATGAAGAAAAATATAAGATTTGAACATTCTTACCATGTAGTTCTCGAATCAGAGGCCTCAATCTTTGAGCGAATATTGCATTTACATTAGTATGAGGAGTCTGATGTATCAAGTTTCTTTTTATCAGGTGATCAAGGATTCAGTTTTCCGAATGGACATGGCAGTGTGGAACAAGACCTTTTTCGAAGCTTTTGCTTACTACAATCCACTCTTCATGATGGTATTTGGTTCTCTGCAGAAACTCATTTTTTAAAGACTGTTTTCTTCGTGCTGCATCCGTGCTGACCAATATTCCGTTATATCCGTTCTTTATTCCTATAGCACAGAGTCTGTGACACCTAAAATTGGAAGATGAACACCTTGTCATAGAATTTGAAAGTTCCTTGTGTGACCTGTTTATGCTTATAGATATGGATATCCACCACCAATCTTGTGAACTACAGTTTGTGTTCGCTTCTGCATTATGTTTCACCGGTTGATCATCAGAAAGACCTTTCTTTCTAGTGCATCCTTTATCTGGGATTTGAGTAGTATAAAGCTAAATACTAACTTTGTAGGTATTTCTTTGTGATTTTTACCTCCTACATATACCATGCAAAAAATGGTTCTGTAAGCTCATTGAGTGAGTTTCTCGTTAGGATGAGGTTTTATCACTGGCTAGAGATGGATGGTTTGATGTAACCATTCTCTTTATTGTACAGCTTCAGCACCACCGAAGTTGTCTTTGGAAAGTTGCAGCTTCTACCACTTTGTGTGTGTATATATATATATATATATATATATATATATATATATGTTACTGGTTACATGCTCACCATCTACGTTGACTGTAGACTCTTGATTGTTATTTAATCTAGAATCCAAAATTTCACATCCATGTTGATACGTGTTAAGACCTCTGTTCCAGTTTAAACGCTATTTCATCCCCCGCTGCATTTTTGTTCTTTCTATGTCATTGGTACTTGCTTCTGTTTCCTTTCACTCAACTTCCGTTGAACGGGATTGCTATCGATTGGCTCGCTTCAAACTCCTTTAACTAGCGTCAGACTGTAGATACTGCATGTGAGTTTCCTCCTGTGATCTTGAATAAAGGTCACAGTTTGTTTTTTTCACTTGTGCAATTTTTTTATAATCTTGGTAATCTGCAGGTCACACTGCATTTACCGGCAAAACTATAAATCTCAGTCATAAATACAACAGCTTGTCTTGAGAACTTGTCTTCTATCCTGCAATATATATATATATATATATATATATATTCTTGTGCGTTATTCTTGCAGTTGAAGAATGCGAACTTGATGGTCAATGACCTGATACAATTGTCCCATTTCTACTGGCTACTGTAGGCATAGTACGAATTTATACAATTCTACATAAGAGATGTATGTTAGAAGGAAAGTAAGACATACACGTTTTCTAAGCACCATGTACTCCTCTTGAGTCCATGTAATTCTGAAGTTGTTTCTCCTTTGATCTAGAAAATATATCCCCCTTCAGCCCGCTCTTTGTGAAGTGTTAGATTTTCGCTACTCGTTAGTGCGAGTGTGCTTACCTCAAATGTTTGATCTGCTTGATAGATCGATCCCACATTAGTGTTTGCCTGGTCAGGAACGTGTGTTTGAAATATCAAAAAGATTCTGCGTCTCGCTGAATAAGTCATTTCTTTTTACAGTAAATTTTAAGGTTATAGTTTCCGCGGGTGTTCTTGATGAATTACATCCATACCTTAAGTTAAAATCTAAAATAACAAGTTTCTTCTCAGTTTTCCGTAGTAATATGCTCATTGCTGCTTCTTGGTGCCACCTTGTCTATGCTACAACTTGTATGCATGAGGGAGCGGTGTGCTGGATTTCTTATCTGCTTGTATTTGTGATGCTGATGTATGATAGATAGATGTATCAACTTTTGAAAGTCCCTATAAACATGTGTATCTCACATTTCTCTAAGAGCTATTTAAACTCGATGTATGTTGCCCTATGAGTGCCACACCGTCTTGTATAGAGACGTGCTCTAAAGACGTTCACGGCGTCTCTCTTTCTCGAGTTCAGGATTCTTTAGTTTTTAGTCTCTCCCAGAAATAAAATATTTGTTACCGCCGTATCATAAAGTGGTGACTTTTCTCGCTCTTGTCATCTCCTGTTAAATGTTTCGCTCAGCAAGAATTGATCAGAAGTTATATGTTGCACCCTTATCAGAATTTGTGTCGATTTCTTGAAAGAAAGACCTGGATCTCACCAATTTGACTTCGGTTATGCCTTTGCCCAGGCCATGATGGTGTGGCTTTGGGGAGTAAACGTTCAAGTGTTCCTGCGTTCTCGTGTGAACTACGCGAAGGTGTTTGATCTGGATCATAACCATCTCACGCATTGGGAGATTTGGAAGGTGAATACTGCTAATCTGAAACTTCGTGTTTGCCAAGTTTCACAGGATAAGTAATTGTTAACAATATGTGAATCTGGTTCTCTCCTGCTTCATGTCAACTTTTACATTCACCAAAGGTCGCCCCCAGTTGTTTTGAAGGTTGTGTTGATTGCCAGATATGTCTGACAGCAGGGGACCTTTTCTTCAGATATTGTTCCTTGTTTGCTGACAGTCCGGCCCTGTCAGACGAACGAAGTGTTCTATTGGATCCTGTGGATCCAAAAGAACCTGTAATGAAAATATATTCCTGTGAAGCATTGTGGTTATTGTCGACAGTAGTAGTGAGTATACCGGAGTGCTGTTCAGATCGTCCCTTTATGTTTTTCATGCGCTCAAGTTCCAACAGAGAGTAGACATACGTCTACTGGAGCTGTTAAACTCAAATTTAGATCCTTTGTGCAGCAGTTTGAGTTTGGACTATTCTGTTGTGTCCTGGGTGAAGTTCTTATCATTTCACGATCATCTACAACCATTTTTATTGACGGGGTGGGCGGTAAATTTACTCCCTTGTCTTTCTCAACCAAAATGCTGAACCGCGGTATTTGGCAAACACTCTTGCAGATCGCATCGTGGATGACGGTGCTGGTACTTACAAGCCTGACAGCTTATCTGTATCTGGAGTCATACGGTGAAAGAAAACTTGCAGCTTCACAACCGGTGCAGTACTTAGCTCTGATACATATCTGCTTGTTATCTCTGGCTTCCTTTAAATCACCTGGAGAGCTGTTTGTACATGACGTTGTATACAGTTCAAATCTATTGTAGGAAGAACATGCTTTTTGTAATCAAATCACATGTCTTTAGTAGATGCAAGTGATGTTTTGCATGTGAAACTCTGATCATTTCACTCCACTTTCCTTTTGGTAGATATTTTCACATTTGGCGATTTCTAATGATCCTTTTATCTGAAATAGATATAGATCTGGAGCTCAAATTTTGTCATGTCCTTGTGCATGTAGCTCAATGTACGTACTCATTGCAACAATTTGGAAGCTTCTAACGGGAAATAGACTTTGATGCGATGACAGGTCATTGTGTACTGTTTGTTACCACTCTTACTGGCTTTGCCAGTAAATGCCTTATTCGCTTCTTCACGCTTTTACTTTCTGAGTACGATTGTCCGCATGATTTTTCCCTTCCAGGTTTGTCTTCTGCGCATATGCCTTTGACAACCACGATGAATGCTTATAAATTTTTCTCAAATTTGTGTGCAATAAGAATGGCCTTTGTTGTGACGTCGCGTGCACGGCCTCACACAAGTCTAAGAAACGAGATCTCCATGTTGTAATATATCCATACCGTTTTATTTTAGGTTTTATACTCGGTAACTCTTTAGCCACAAAGGTAACCCTCTGTGACCAAGCATTATTGTTTAAGGTTTCAGATTTGTGTGTACATGTCCAGAATTGAGTCTGAAAGTTGCATACATTGTTGTTCAGTGAGCAAAGCAATCGGGTCGAGAGTAGATCTTGTAAGTATTATTTCCTCAATTACTGACACCTGTCAGCTATTGGATTATTGAGTTGTCAGGATAGAGAAAGCAATATAACTGAATCCGAGTCAAAGCTTGGTTCAAGGTGGTGAATGCTATATTGAGACAGCTGAGCTCATGAGCATTACAATCAGATAGAGTCTTAGATTGACGGTATACAAGCTATGGCAAGTGCAAGAGAGATCACATTCACACACCAATTTCCAAAATAATATACTACGGGTGATATGATCCTATGGATTACTCATTTGTTAGGAACAATATTAGTGCTTCATTTGTTAGTGCTTCGGATTAAGAATAAAATATTTTAATCCTCTGTGTATAGATGTGATCCACTTCCAGATATCGTATTTCCTACCATAGCCGGTGATATGAGTTTCCTTGCACTTGCCATAACTTGCCCACATTCAGTGTAACCTTCAGGCAGATTTTGAGCTATATTTATGAGTTCAAATTTCTCATTACAACACTCCCCACTTTGATCAAATTCCAACTCGAATTCACTTAGATCGATATCACCTTCTTTACATCTCAGTAATGTAACAGCTCGTAGATGTGATCAGAGGGCAGATCACTGGCAAGATGTACTCTTTGACTTGATTATAGTAATTTGAAACTGGACACACAATTCTGAAACCCTAAACCGTAGTAAAGTATATCAATAATTACCTCCGAATCCAATTGCTGCTTGACTCTCAAACTACTACGCTCGGATTTTGAAATAAATCGTAACAAAATAAAATAAGGAAATATGTGGTTACCTACCTGCGTTAGCAGATACTGATACCATATATGGTATCAATATATATCTGCTATATGCTTTCGCTTTCTTTTCCCAGAGAGCCCATGAACGGTGCCAGTCGGGCTAACGGCTTTTTAGTGTTCGTGTGGCTTTGACAGCCGATCTCTTTTGCAGACTTCTTCGTGGCAGATGTCCTGACGTCCATGTCCAAAGTAAGGATTACTTGCATATCTATTGGTTGTCACTTCATCACTATTAATACGTGCGAATTGGATATCCGTAGATAGTGTGAGATCCTTCCATGAGACTTCTCCCACGACCATTTTTGTTGTTCAAATGTCCTAATGACATTAAGTCGCGGTTTCACACATAATTTACAGGTTCTGTCGGATGTGGAGCGAGTTTTCTGCAGAATTTATTATCATCAAGTAAGTTAGTAGTCAACCATTTTTGGCTGTGTCAGTTATTGATTCTTATGCTTCATTCTCAACTTCTCTCCTCTCTTCATTTTACTTGCAAAATCTTTCACTCTATTACCTGTTTAGTTGACTAGATAGTATTCTATCGTTTCGTTAGCGTTTGATACAAAGATTTGCAAATACTTCCTCATAACCCTCAAGCGCTTACAGTATACATGATATCGCCATGTACTTGCATAACACATTGTATCTCTGTCGCGTGTCTTCGGTAAGTTTTGATCGTTATTTGTCTGTTCAAGTATGAAGAGCAACATATGTGAATAGATTGCACCATAGATTGCATGGTAGACAATTATCATCAATTTTGGATCTTCATGTTGTTGCAGGCAAGCACAAAAGAGTAGCAGTTGTACATTGCTAACTTGAAAGCTAACAAAGAATACTTTTGAAACCAAAGCACACTGTGCGTTAGGAGAATCCTAATGGAGGGTCTTGATGTTTCACATACTTATGCAGTGTTTACTTTTCAGGTTACAGGAGTTCCTGAGGATGATGCAAACCTCATGTGTGGAAATCATTCCTACTGGATACCTTGCATCTTGGCCTTTCCATATCTTTGCCGTTTTTTCCAGTGCCTTCGGCAGTTCTCCGATACCGGCGATAAATCTTGTCTGCTCAATGGTAAAGTGTGAGAGTATTCCAGGAAGGAGGGTGTACGAGAGAATGAAAGTACTATTTTAAGCTCCTGGTCCTCCAGTGTTAATCAGATAGGCTTTATATAATGTCCTACATTGTTGATGGCAGAGACCACCATGGTGGTAAAGCGAATTGTACCATTCTTTTGCACGAGTGACAAGTCATGATTCTTGCTAAAAAAGTTCTCGGATGTCCTGCTCTAGAGCAGGACATCCGAGAACTTTTCATAGAATACAGTGTTAAAGATGTGGAAGACGATAATATTGCTGATGATCTCAAAGCACTGAAGGTTGTGCCAGAAGCCTTATGAAGAACTTTCACAGTCGGGATAATTTTCTTGCAGGGGAGAATGTATCTCATATATGTACTAATTCGGTGGCCTTTTTCATCCGATGTACCTTGCAGCTCTGAAGTATACGACAACATTCCCTGTCATCGTATTGTCTGCTTTGAAGTACCATATGTCTGATGTCCTAGTTTGGGAAGCAACATATCGACCTTTGTGGCTGCTATGCTGCGTGATCAACACTTGCTATTCTTTCTACTGGGATGTCACTCGAGATTGGGATCTAGGGTATGTCTTTCCTTTTAGGCTTCTCCTTTAGCTGAATTTCTCATGCTAACAGAAACTAAAGTTTATAAGATACAGTTTTTTTTACTGGATCAAATTGACTAGAATCAATGCTGCATGTTTGTCAGGCTCTTGACTGGCAACTGCAAGACAAAGAAATCCGCTCTACGTTCGAGTATGTTGTACAATCAACGATGGGTAAGTTATCATTTTGTATCTTGTTCAACATTATTTCGCTATATGATTTGGCACAAATGATATTATGAATTCTGTTGCAGCAGTTTATTATCAACGATGGGTTGGTCATCATTTTGTATTTGTTCAACATTATTTCTCTATATAGATTTAGTAAAATTGATATTCTGAATTCCGTTGCAGCAGTTTATTAGTTTGTTTTCCAGATGTATCGCCAGCATTGCATGATGCTACTATTGACTTTCTTGGATTAGCCATAGCTTTCTACTTCTCCCCCTCACTCTCTCAGGTGGGCTATGAGCAACATCACTGACGGAAAAAATTCTCTAGGTAACACTCGACACTCTTGAGTTGATAAAAACTCGAAATTCAGACAGTGTTAACTCCACCCCTTTTTTCCAGTAACCTAGCTCTCAAGGGTGTTATCACCAGCATTGTATGATGTGTTTATTGAGGCTCTTGGATTAGCCATAGCTTGGAACCATTTCCTCGAACTTTCAGGTGGGCTATGAACTGAGGTAAGGATTCTCTAGTTAACTCTCCCACACTTGAATTGAAGCGAACTCGAATTGGAGATAAATGCCAACTCCACCACAGTTCTTAGAAATCTAGCACAAGGGTGTGATTCGTACACGACGAAATGATCACTGGCAATGTGTGTACTTTGACCTGATTGCTTTCAGCCTTAGATAAGAACATGGACACACGAATCCAAAACCCTAAACCAGAATTGCTGGTGGTTCGTTAGCCACAAAAGTAACCGTAGAAAGATAACCTCAATTTAAATTACTATTCACCTTCTATTCACCTTCCGTCAATCCACTTTGTAGATACCTGAGATGTTGTTTTGGTCTGACAATAAATTTTATTTCACAACTGGTAACTTCTTCGTTCCTTCTTGATGCTTTATGAGGATGTGAGTTCATGATCAATGTCTTTCTCTAAGCCGTTTATGCACCAGTCATCCTATGATATGCCTGTGCATCGAGTTGCTGTCTTCAGTGAAATAGAAGGTGTCTATGATGGTCCAATTAATTGTGCTGCTGTCCTTGTTTTATTTTACTCGGTATAGTCCGCAACGTTTTATGTAGAACGATGGGTTGAAGGACAAATTTATTGTATTAACTTCAGACTTTTTCGAAATTCGTAACAAATTATGTCTCTACCCTGGAAACGGCAGGTATATTTTTGGGCTATTTCAAGCAATCTTCTTCTAAGGTGCTCATGGACTTTCAAATTATCTGCACATCTACGGCACAACCGTTTGACTGTCTTCACCTTTTCAGGGCTGGAAATGTTACGGAGGTTTCAGTGGATATTTTTTCGAGTGGAGAGTGAGTACAATAAGATGATTACAAGCAGTTCTGCTGTGGAGATACCGCTGACAGAAGTAGTTGAAGAAAAAGAACGCTTGTTTGCTTCTGATCATGACACATAATATACGTCACAGTCATTTGGCCCTTACGAATTACTGCCGATTCATACCATTTATTATTGTTTTTTGAAGACCGTAGATGCCTTCCATTGTTACAATTCACTCTTGATCAATATTTCGAGGGGGTGGCACAAGCTGCTTTTCTTAGAGGCCCATGATTATTAGCAGTATACGCCTGGGACATGACTCGATGCTTTATCACCCACCTCGATCATTCATTCATTTCAGAAGCTGCTGGCACATACTAAAAACAGGTGTTCATGCTCTCTCTCGCCTTAAAACCAATTTCCTGTACCGACGGTAACGTTGATCAGTGTTGAATGTTTGAATGTACCGGTGGAGGATATGGATCAATTATGCATTCATTGAAGATCTTTTGGGAGTGGCCTTTGATTGAGGTTTTGTATCAGTAAAACTTATGGATTCAAACTTGACGTACCGAAGTTGAGATTGGATGAATGTGTAGTTAACATAAGCCTTCAAACCAAACACGTACATGTTAGAAGGAATCCAGTTCATAAATGATCCAGAAGCTTACCAGAGATGAAGATTGTTGCCATCGATAACATTTGTTGTCAAAACCGTGTCCTGAACGACTTTTGGACTTTTGGACATCAGTGAGCTGCAATTAGATGTCGTGATGAATAGGTCTAAGTTTAAATACATGGTTCAAGTCTCACAGATTCACTCATGTGCCTTACAATATACCTGGACAGGCCAAACTCGAATCTCGAAACCTATGCCTTCCACGAATCTTACACACCAGACTTTTAACTTGGATCATCAAAATGAAGTGCGAATTGTTTGTGTACATAGTAAGCAAGGTTCACTTGGGAAACTCATGGAATTCTTCCGTAGCTCCACACTAGAACCAGATAGTAGAACGGAGGTGGGTTAAACTTGCTGAACAAAATTGCTTGGAACTTGAAACTAAACAGTAGCGGTATGTATCATGTACAAACGGTAAGAAGGGTTATTTGAATCACAGTGCTCTATTATTCGCTTAATGTCAAGAAGGTTTCATACCCCATTAATTTACTCTACACCGGGTAATTAACCAAGCGTCATAACCTTTTTCCTACTGATGTTTGTTGAAAATATAAGTTTCATGTTCCTCACTGGTATAAAACTTGAAAGATCTCTTCAGCCTAGAACTTTCTCTAAACGCGATGAGTCTGAAGTTTTGAAGTATTTTATTCCTGTATGGTAGAGCGACGTGTTTGCCAAAGCAATAGAACTCACATTGTCAGTCTGGATCTCCGCCAAAACTCATATCTTTCTATATATTTCGGAAACAAAATCCTTCACTGATTGCAGCAGTCGTATCTTCCGATCTATAACTTAAAAATTATAGCCCGATGTAGTTGATCATATTTTCAAAATATTTTCACATTCTTAATCTTTGATCTTTATAGAAAACAAGGAAAAAGAAGCGAGCGTTCATTTTTATACATGACTTTTGTAAGACATGCACTGTCTCTTGTCCATTAAAAGATTGCAACAAGTTTGTACCCAGTGGTGATTATGCTGTATTATATATAGCACGTAATCCACATTTTACATCTTGCTCTGGAATACACATTGATGTGCATTGTGTTTTATTTCCATATACTATTTTTCGGCAGATAATCATATTTTTAAGAGCGTAGATCCTAATCTACGCTCTTGAAATACATGCCATATTTTTTTACAAGTATTCAAAATGCAAGTATTCAAGCTGAATTTTGTTGATAACTTTGCTTTTAAGAATATAAACTTTTGCCAACATCACTATTCAACACTTAGTTATAAACATCGCTACTTATATTTGATAAATGTGTTAAGCATGTCATGAGTTTTTGTAAAAAAATAAATCTTCTTTTGTATGTGTGAATTAGGGACTTGTTCTAAATACAAAACGAAAACATATTTTTGATTGCTTTGCACAAAAATCAAAAATTAATTTCCACTTTCCACTTTCCACTCTTTGCTTTGTAGAGTATTATGTCAGAATTTTAATGAATGCCGAATCATCTCGTAAAAGTTTTATAATAAAAATAGATTCCGGTATAAGTATATAAGATATATAATTCATTAACAAAGAAATCAAGTCCATGCTTTATCAAGTAATATATGTTTAGTTACACATGCGAGACCAGTGTTGTTTTCTTGCGTAACTACGTAGTTCATGTGAACACGAAGATGATGGTGAGCTTGACGAAATCTATTAACATGGTCAAGCGGTGGAAAGAAAAAGATGAAGAGATAAGAAAAGAGAAAACTGTCGTTACAAACAGAAAGGGCCAACAACTTGCACTAGGGCACAAGAGAATAAAGACACTCGAGGTCCAAGTTTCAGTTACATCTTAAAGGGGATAAGAGGTAAACTTGCACTTGAATTGCAACGTGCAGTAAGAAAAAACATAACGCACACTTCAGGATGTCCCTAGAAATAATATAGCAAAAGGATGGGAAGACCCCTAATGTGAATGTTAAATTCTGTGAGATTTAAAGGGTCGATGTTAATGCAGTTGATGGGTCTTCCCATGCTTTTGTGAAGTCACTGTGTCCCCCTGCAATCCACTTGAGCTTCAGGCGCAATGCCACGTACAGCACCTTCGACACGTGACATAAACCGGGAATAATAGAAATTCATATTTGTCTTTTGAACGAACTTTGTGCAGACTCAGTCATTCGTGCTCTGAACGAAGGCAACAGCATCCTGGCTTTACCGGTCGACCGATTGAGGCAGCGGGCCAAGCCTTGAAAGCGGGAGGTGAAGCCGAGACGGTCAGTGAAAAGGACGAAGAGAACGGTGACGGTACATGCCTGGTTCCGCTGTCTTCTGCAGGCGGCTTCAATCAAATTTCGTCCTTGATGATTGTCCGGAAGACGGATTCATGGATCTCGCCCTCCGGATGAAGGGTGAAGAAGCGTGGGCCCTCGGAATCCGCGGAGTTCGGTTTCTCTGAACGGAGAATTGATTGAGAGGGAGGTCTGTGGGTGTTTATAAATTGAGTTGAATATGACCGGATCGAGTTGATGATGGAGAGCGAATTATTCTCCGTTCACGTTTCTTGCAGTATTTCTACTCCCATCAATTGCGGTGCAAGTGGGTCTGTTCTTGCTATCACTGCTTCTGCTGCACTTGGAATCCTCTCTCAGAGCAGCAGCCGCGTGGAGTGGAACGGTCGTCCTTTTCTGCGAGTTTATTAGCATCCCCATGCGGCTCAGAGATTCATTGTGTTGCAGCTTCGGTCATGTGTGAGGTCTCTGTTGTGCATTTTCCAGTCGGCACTCTGGGTTCAATGTTCATGCATACACTTATCCTACTTAAGACGGTGCTGTGTCCTCATGGCCATTCCCTTTCTCTCCTTTTCCACTCCTTTCGAACAAGCGTCTTCTCTCTCAGAATTTTCATATTGTAGATCTCAGAGGCCTCAATTGCCTTTCTCTGAGTCCCTAGACTGTGCTGAGGTGTGCTCGTTGGATAGCAATTCGGCTTTGACTCTTTGATTCTACTCTCTTCCTATCTCCCAGGTCAATTGAATCTGTGTGTTTGTTGATTTTATGAAGGATGTCAACTGACGAGGGAGTGCTCTTATCTCCTGCTCTTGTAGTCGGTCACTACTGCCACGATAGGATTACTTTACCTGGAGGAGTTCGAGTAGATGCTCTTGGGGGCTCTGTTTCCTACATTACCAACGTTTTTGAAGCTCTGAGTATGAAGGCAGATGTTGTTTCAAAGGTGGGAGCCGATTTTCTTTACAATTCTCAACTGTTGTATCCTCCAATCGTCGTGGAGAACCAATGTACCACCGAATTCTTCGCAGATTTCACAGCTGGAGAAGAAAGATTACTTAGAGTAGGAAATGTATGCGAACCCATTCTTCCGAAGGATATTGTTTCAGACACGAAGTATGAAATAGGTTTAGCTGTTGGAATTGCTGGGGAGGTTCTTCCTGAGACCCTGGAGCGTATGATTGAGACGTCTAGGATAGTAGTGGTGGACGTACAAGCCTTAATGCGGACTTTTGACCCAGTAACGCGTCTTGTCAGTCTTCGCCGACTGGAGGAAACGCCCTTTTACAACCTTTTGCATCGAATCTCGTATATCAAGGCGGCTAGGAATGAAGCGTCTTACATCGATTTAGAAATTGTCAGGAAGTTCACATGCGTTATTGTCACCGATGGGGAGAACGGCAGTAAAGTCTATAGTAAGGAAAGCGAATGGAGAATTCCTCCGTTTAATGCGACAGATGTGGATCCGACCGGAGCTGGCGACAGTTTCTTGGCCGGTTTTTCTGCCGGTCTTTATCAAGGTCTTTCTGTCTATCAGGCTGCCCTGATGGGCAATTACTTCGGAGCTCTTGCAGTGGAGCAAGTTGGTGTACCTCATTTTTCACCAGAGCAACTGAAGGTACGTATTGAAAGTGCATTAGCTGTCTGCATCAGTCGAACTCTCCCGGTAGAATCATTTTTCTGCTCTTCCTGCACATCTTGATGTTTCTCACTGCGTCTATATCCCTGGCGGTCTACAATTTTTTTTTTTGTTTCCAAGAATGTGCGAAGTTTGAGTATGCTCAATGCAAATGCTATTATATGATGTTTCCTGTATTTCTCTAAACGAACTTAGAAGAGAGCATTAGTGCAGATTTTGAGAAAGTATCAATTGTGCTGCAGCTAATCCCAGGTTCTTCTAAGGATTGCCCTCTGATATTTACTGAACCGTTCCTTGTTCGCAGAAACTGCAGGAATTTCGCGACACCAATGTGGGAGTTATCCTCTCTAGCAAACCGGATACCGGCGGACCGAGATTTAATCTTCTTTGTCATAACGAGCTGCCAGTGAGGGAAACCAACACACAGAAGCCACAAGCTTTGTGAAACATACGAACGAAGAAGTTTTGGATTCAAATCCAGAGTTGACTTCGTCTGCATACGAATCAGCTTCCTTTTAGATTGCTAAATATTGTAAACATATTCATTCAGAAACGTTCAAAGTTGTAGATAACTGTATGAACTGTCTTGTTCCTAGTCATATTCTTTCGGACCAAAATAAGAAATTGCTGGTCATCAGTCGCTGGTACGTCACGAGGCACTATTATGATGAACTATCATAGCGGGTTCCTGGATGCAGCTTCCCTCCTGCGCAAGCCACCATCAGAACCCAGTTATACTTGCCAACAAATAGAGTTGGTCTCTCGTTCATGCGTATCACTAGTTCTTGAGCAATTTCAATGCCTGGACTGGACTTTGCCAGAGAAATTATAGAAATGCCGGAGAGGTCCGTTGGTCTCAGAGGCCACATGGCAGAACAGTTGTCAGGCTGACCTTCTTGTCCAAAAGTTCTCGGTGAAAATTTATATTTATATATATTCAGTGACTTTTAGACGATGAGGTTTGCATCTCAAGCGGCAGTTATATGTTACATTGAAGTGAAACGAAGCAAGCAAGTTTGGTTGGCCGTGTCGATATTTCTTCCGACAATTCTTCCCGCTCCTTATCTATCACTAACTAATACAGTTGAATCATCTACCAACGTAAATTAGCGATAAAACTGGTCCAACTCGATACCACGCTTTCCTAGAAAGCGGTAGGCAGTTGTCGCAACTCAGTGTGTTAAGTCCACAAGTAGTCAGCGAGCTTCAACGCTTTGGTATCGTGATTTGTTTGTGTTGTTCCTCGGTATCTCTGCCTGCGTACTCTAACTCGTTTAAACTTGATGTTTGTTATGTGATAACACAGTGTAGTCAGTTCAGAGCCGATTACTCTTGTCACGTATCGAAGAAGCCAGACGTAAGTTTAAGACGAATCTATCGAACGATGCTCACTCACCACTCATCTCACCATTGTAACAACTCTTTCCTCACAGAGAGTTAGAGCTAACCATTTGATTCAGTCGTTTGGAGAATGGACGATGTGCATTGCAAAAAGTGGTCTTTTCTATCTCAACATGTTTTCAACTAGAACATTCCAACGTAGTATAAGTCTTCTCTTGAAACGTTGTGGCAGTCAAATGTACCTTTTCAAGAGCATGTGTTGGGTGTGAAGTATTAGGGTACATTTTGATGAATATTGATTGAGAACATGACGGAAATTCAACACCTCCGAACCCAAAAACATGTGCAAAATCCTGGATGATCAGCAGGGTCGCGTGCAATTGTGATTAGAGACTTTAGAAGATTAGTTTCAACACGACGGTGGAAGAAGAAAATGACCCATGTGAAAAGCTATTCGTAGAAAGATTCGTATAAGCCTCCTGCATTCGTCACGGAAAGTGGGCGGCAAAAATAACAAACGCTAAATATTACAGATGAAATACCGGATCTGTGGGTAGCCTAAGGGTTATACATTTATCCCCGAGGCCTGAGGTTTGACGTACGTCCACAAAGCTTATATCCCGGCTCGAGGTGAGCCCATCTTAGTGAAACTGATAACGAGATATGTATCAAAGAAGTGAGTGTGATCAGTCGAATCACGTCAAATGTCATAAGAATCCCCACGGCTGTGTCGTGGTCGGATGCGATGAACTCGCACCAGGGAACATCCGTGATTAGATTGAAGTTTGCAACGGAATCTACTTCAACTTAATAGCAGTTGGTTCAGTTCTTGTCTTTTCCGTTACCAAGTTGGATCGTAGATTCAAAGAATCGTAAAACAAGAGGGAAGGGTCTCTGACATAAAGATGAATGGATTGCGACAGGCCTACATGCTAATACAGACCTACAGCGAAGGACCTACTTTGACATTTGGGTGTATTAAGCCAGACGGAAAACAGACAGAGGGTTGCAACCCGTTTCTCCGTATGCGGAACTTCTTCTACAGCATAAAAAATAAGTTTTGTAGTATGCACCATTCCTACAAGCTCACAGCAGTGCCGGCCTACGCTGATAGGTCACAATGATCTTCGTGGTGGTGGAGTCCACTGCCACTGTACTCAGCCCCGTAAAATTAGCGTTCGGTTTGGTTCCGATTTCTTAGCCCGAGGAGTTTTCCGTACTGTGTGATCGAGGAGATCGCAGGCCTTGTGCGGGAGAAGAGAGCGATTGATCTTGAATCAAGTGAATCGATATCATCTCCTCAGTCGGAAGGATCTAGTGTGAATAAGTGAATGAACGCCGGCAACATTTCAGGACGGAACGGAGTTTTTAGATCTGGATTCTGTGCACCGCTATTCTCTCACGGCTGCAGCTGATGTGAAGTTTGATGGGGCTAGTGCGATGGACAGATCCATGCCGTTACAGCTGGAGTTGGCATCCCGTTGTTCTCTTTTCTTAGGTCTGAAGCTCAATTAAGGACACAAGTGTTTGGGAACCAGCCAGCTGGAAGAAGCACTGGCGATCTAAGTAGTTTGAAGAAGGCAGCCCGTTCTTTAGGTGACAGCAGGTATGGATTTTGGCACGTTGGGCTCGTAATTTGCATGTCGAGATGACAATCCGACGAGATGATGGTCCATAGGTAGATGGGACGCTCAGCCCTGGATTAGGCCGGCGAGGTCATGGATCGATTCACGAGCTATCAACCCCTCGAAAACCGAAAGAAAGTAAGATTGGACAACCCATTGACGATATCTGTGTTCGATATAGTTGCGTAGAGAACTCGACGGAGTCGGGATCATCCACTATGTCAGGGTATGGGCCTTATGCTAGCTCCTCATTAGGACCCACCTCGTTACATGTGGGTGGGAGTGGGACGGGTGCAGCGAGACGTCTGTCAAAATTGGGAGGAGGGGCGCCAAATTCTAAGAGGAAACGAGCTAAGCGCCCTATCTTGCAATCGTTCCGCAGGAAATTCATAAATTGCGTTCTTTATTCTGCTTTATTGGTATTTAGTCTTGGTATATACAAGGGCAGTCGGTACTTCCCATCATCTATCGACGGGCAAGAGGCCTCGTCCAATGCCTTCTTTTCGTCCTTGCCTGCACTTAATGGCAGCTCCCACACTGGGGTTTCAAAAGCCAAAACGGATATTACCACTCAGGGCTTGTATGAGGATATAAAATTTCTGAACGAGGAGGGAGGAGTCTGGCGACAAGGATGGAATGTACAGTATAAGGGGGATGAGTGGAACACAGAGAAGCTCAAGGTCGTGGTTGTGCCTCACTCTCATAATGATCCGGGCTGGTTGCGAACTGTCGAGGAATATTATCAGGAAAGATCAAAATCCATTCTCTCCACCATCGTGTCATCTCTCAAGAAGGTGAGCATTGTTACTATCCCCTGACATATGTTAAAGAAGGAGCCCCGAAGTAGTATCTGCAAGTGTGCAGAGTCTACTAGCGTATGTTAGAGTCCGTTTCTAGTCTGTACGGCAACGAATATTTGAAAGATGTTTGTTGACACTACACTGCTTGTTAGGCTTGATGATCATTTAATTAAACCATCTTACTTTGAAATTCAAAAGAAGGTTACTGATCATGATGTGCACCACGTTTAAGCTGCTTGAGTTGCAAACCTTCTCTAGTTACAAAGATTCATTGTCCTCATCACGTTAAGTGTATGGCGGCTACCAACTTATTCACTCCCATCATATAATGCCGTGTAATGTTTTCGTATTATGTTAGCGGCTGTATCTTTCTCAGTTTTTCTTACTTTATGCTTAACACACCTCTTTGGTTTACTCCCGAAGCCAAGCAGTTGGTTGTGGGCTGTGATCATTATTGCTGTCAAACACGGATTCAAAGAAACTGTATCTGTAAACTACTATGCTGCTTTACAGTCACAATCCAGTCGCATATATCGTCTGTTTAGAAGTCCAGATTGTCATCTCTTCATGCAAAAGCGGTTCAATTGGTGTTTCTGTTTCCATTGCTCTTATTCAAGACCATTGCTTGGCTGTGAGCAAGAGAACAAGAAATCATTTTCTCCAATCCGATTTATTTCTTCTCAGTGACGATATGATAAGCTCGCGTCTTCCCTGCTTGTGAAAAACCCTTTTCATTCTTTGCTAGGCCGACGATTTCTTCTTAGACCTTTGAAGTGAGCCTTTGAGTAAATTCCGTCAAAGCGCCTTTTAGAAAAACCAATTGCCTAGTTTCTGTACATAGTTGGAGTGCAGCGCTGAAAGAATTTGTCTGTACCCAGACAATGTCAGTCATTGTATGTCCAGCGTTGGTAGTCACGACGTTGAAGGTTATCATTGGTGTTGCAGGATACACGGCGGAAATTCATCTGGGAGGAAATGTCATACTTGGAAAGGTGGTGGAGGGATGCTTCTGAGACAGAGAAAGGCGATTTTAAACATTTGGTCCTAACAGGGCAGCTAGAAATTGTTGGAGGAGGCTGGGTGATGAACGATGAGGTGCAGTTCAGTTGGAACTCTTTTTTATTTTCAGTTGTACTCGAAACCAAAACCAATTTGAGACAGTAGTATCTCTTGCCTCACATATCTCTATAGCAGCTCCTTTGGCCTTCGGTTACAATTACAGTTCTACTCCAGCTATACCTGACTTGATCGTATTGAACTCATTGCAGGCCAATTCACATTACTACGCCATCATCCAGCAGGTGGCGACAAATACTTCTCTTACGAAATTTCGTGCTTTTTCGTGTTCATTTTGCTTGGTATCCATTGTTGGAACAGATATTTCCAAAGAATCAGATATTTTGACTGTTTAGTTTTCCGTAGGAGAGGCTGAGTTGTAGAGAGCGAAAGCTATTTCTGACGTAATGGGTAGTTTTATCGATGAACCTACATTCTCTATCTATTTCTTCGTTACCTGACAGAGTAGGTCGATCACGAAGGTTGTCCGGAGTTTGGAACTGAACTGCTTAGAACATTTGTGTTGAAAACCGTAGATGATTGCAGGTAATATGTGGTTGCTTGAGACAGTTGGAGTTGTTCCAAAGAATTCGTGGGCCATTGACCCGTTTGGTCACTCACCTACAATGGCGTATCTACTGCGTCGAATGGGGTTCAAAAATATGTTGATACAGAGGACGCATTACGAAGTGAAGAAGGCGCTGGCTTTGAAACAAAACCTGGAGTTCATGTGGAGACAAAGCTGGGATGGTTCAAACACCACAGATATTTTTTGCCACATGATGCCTTTCTATTCATATGACGTCCCCCACACATGTGGACCTGAGCCGGGTGTTTGCTGTCAGTTTGACTATGCGCGCCTACCTGGGATTGGAAAGGCTGAAATGTGTCCTTGGGGTCACAACCCACAAATAATTACTCCTCAGAATGTGGAGGAGCGTGCACACCTGCTGTTGGATCAGTACCGGAAGAAGTCTACTCTTTATAGAAGCAACACCCTGCTTGTTCCCCTGGGTGATGATTTTCGCTACACTTCAATGGTGGAAGCTGAGGCGCAGTTTACAAATCTGCAAAAAATTTTCGACTACATCAACTCGCAGCCAAACCTGAAAGCCTCCGTGCAGTTTGGTACACTCGAGGATTATTTTTCCACTCTTAGAGCAGAGGTTGGTCCAGGAGTATCTACTGACTCAGGTTTGGATCTCGTTCCTGGATTTCCATCCCTTTCCGGTGATTTTTTTACTTATGCTGACAGGGTTCACGATTACTGGAGTGGGTACTATGTTTCACGTCCGTTCTATAAAGCCGTTGATCGCGTTCTTGAAGAGACGATGAGGGCAGCTGATATTCTTTACACGCTTACGTCGGCATATTGCAAGGCAACTGGTTCTTATGATTTCCCTCTGATGTTCAACGACAAGCTTGTATCTGCAAGGCGCAATTTGGCACTGTTCCAGCATCATGATGGTGTGACAGGCACGGCAAAGAACCACGTGGTGATAGACTACGGGGAGAGGATGCACAGATCTGTTCTAGACCTCCTGAGGTTCATGTCCGACAGTGTGCATACTCTGATAAGCAGAAGTGCGAAAGTGGGACGATGTGAGAATCACAACAAGGAAGAGTTAGAGTTCTACGAGCCTGAGCAGGCCCGGGAGCGCTATGACTTGCTGCCTGTCAAAACTACATTGAAAGTGACTGGTAAGTGTTGGACAGATTCCGTTTTGCACTCCTGCTAGCAGTTCTCCTCCAGAATCTCCTCGGTCAGTCCGAGAACGTACCCATGAGTAAATTATATTCCGATGAAGATCCCCTCTAGTCAGCATCTTCTCTGGTTCATACTGTAAATTTCAGTGGGGCACAGTATGTACATTTTCTGTGAATTTCGTTTTTAAATGGACATGAATTCTTCTTTTCTGGCCTTATTAAAAGATTGGCCTTCAATTCTGACTATGGCCTAGCTATTTGCATGTGAACAGGTGAAAATGTCCGGAGAGTGGTACTATTTAACTCTCTGGAAGAGAGTGTGGAGCAGGTCGTAACGATTTTAGTGGACGATACAGCCGTATGCGTGTTTGATTCAAAGTGGGTACCTGTAAGAAGTCAAGCCAGCCCAGAGTGGGACTTTGGAGGGTCCTTTGCTGGTAAACCAGACACAGGTAAGCATCGTCTGCAATGGCAGGCTGAAGTACCAGCCATGGGGCTCCAAACGTACATTATTTCCCCTGCGTCGTTATCCCAGGATTGCGTGACACCAACTCTGGCAAATCTACAAGTTTTCAATCCACCTCAGGACTTCGTATGCCCTGCTCCTTACGAGTGTGCGTCGAAGAGTGACGACCATTTGGAAATCAAGAATCAGCATCAAGCACTGGTCTTTGGAGCAAGAAATGGTCTGCTTTTTAGTGTGACTATACGAGATGGACAAGAGATTTCTGTGGAGGAGGAACTTGCGTTTTACTCCAGCCATAAAAGTGGAGCCTACTTGTTTGCCCCAGACGGAGAGGCAGTGTCTTTTGTCGAACCCGGTGGTCTTATGATAGCAGTCGAAGGGCCTCTCATGCAGGAGGTGTACACAATACCCAAGACCTCTAAAGGGTCCAACGCACCCGTACCTGTGATTCGTAGTGCCCGGCTTTTTGCAGGAAATTCAGTACAGGCCGCTGTAGCAGAGATGGAATATCATACTCAGCTCTCACACACTGCGTTTGACAACAAAGAGCTGATTGCCCGCTTCAGGACAGAACTCAATAACAAGAAGGTGTTCTATTCAGACCTGAACGGGTTCCAGACCATACGCCGAGAAACGTATGAGAAAATTCCTCTACAGGGAAATTATTACCCGATGCCTTCTCTAGCTTTCTTTCAATGCCCCACTGGTAGACGGTTTTCCATACACAGCAGGCAGGCGCTCGGAGTGGCCAGCTTGGACAAAGGTTGTTTGGAAGTGATGCTTGACAGACGACTTCGACAAGATGACGGTCGTGGTCTAGGCCAAGGAGTCGTCGATAACCATCCAAACTCGGTCGTCTTTCACTTGCTAATAGAGAAAAATAGCACAGCGATTCCCGACCTCGAGAAAGGGTCTTCAAGAGTCCAGTCCCTTCTCTCTCACCGTGTAGGAGCCCAGCTCAACTATCCCCTGCATGCCTTTTTGGGTAAGCCGGAATCGTTTGCAAACCTTAGACCCTCTATGGAAGAAAAACTCCTGAGGGCAACGATGTCGCCTATGGCTCAAAACATACCATGTGATTTACACGTTGTTTCCCTGCAATCACTCAAAACAGCTGGTCTGTCGGACTCTGTCAAGCACAAGGTTGGTGTACTCTTACAGCGGAGAGGGTTGGATCCTGCATACGGTGTGGACGAAGATCTGGAATCCAAGAAACGGTGTACTACCTTGAGTGATGGCACTTGGAATCTCTTTGAGATGTTCAACGAACTGGAGATGGTAGACGCTAGACATTCTTCGTTGAACTTCGTGCAAGATGACACAAAAGAATTTGGGTACTTGGAACAAGTCCATCGAAAGGAAGGCAAGTCACAAAGGCGAGGTTTTCTGACACTGGATCCAATGGAAATCGAAGCCTTCAAGTTAGAGTTGAGGCCACGGGAATAGCTCCCATCTTACCATTTGGGAAGGGTGGATATGTTTATAATCAGAGCTGAACCTTTTATGGAGTACTACGTGTAGCAACGGCAATGCATTATAGGTGGGCGATGGTGACAGCAGCGAGACGGGTATGTGTTGTATCCGAATGATCGATCTGTAGATGGTTTTGATGTACGAGATCAGCAGTAGGTTTGCTTGCTCAGAGCCCTTACGGGTACCCAGGCTTTAATGTTCAGATAATCTCTAATCTCACTGGTCGGAGTAAATGAGCATTAAGGTCATAGAGAGATGAGTAGTAGTGCACGGAGGCGAGTCATCACGCGTTAGGTGGGAAGCTCAAATTCTGATATGGTTCTTGAGTGGCTCTGTAACTTTTGTAGTCCTAATTTACGCTAAAGGTCATATGCACATGTTACTGAGCTCATGAAGAGAAGAATTCGAGCTCTGGCGTGAAATCTTATCGGCATGAAGTGAAGTAGAATGATGTCTGTTACAGTCACAACAATCTGTGTAGGTCCCCATCGTCGTGTCAAGATAGTGCCACAAACATTTATGCTTTGAAGCCCCTGTCGGTTGACAGTGAGATGACAATCAGAAAAAAAAAACATACCGCTTATATGAACTGACGATAGCGACAATTCAGAAGGATTTACTGATTGGGGCATCAGTCATAACATTATGTCTTGGTCAAAACGCCATTTTTCAGTTGTTGTCCAGGCCTAAAGTTAATATGTTTATGAAATCCACTTGGTCCAGTGCTCAATTGGATTTCAAGACTGAGGCATAGTGTCAATTAACTCGTAAGTGAGTTCAGGAACTTGGATATGTTCATCAAGCCCTTGTTCATGTTCAAGGACCTCAGCGGTAATGTTTACAAGTATGGAAACTTCTCTTAAGAGTACGTTAAGTCCACGAGTGCAAAGTTGAGTAGGTTTGTGATCCTCGTGTTTGATGAACACTACCTATCGGTTCAAACCATACTTTGAATCGGCAAAAGAGTAAGAAATATGGGTCAACGCAGACAGAATTAGGGTTAAAGGATCAGTGTGTTTACTCTGAACTCCTCCTCTTCCCTATCCGCAGAGAGACACTATGCGGCACATGTTTCCTTCATTGTGATTTATTCTAGTCTCTTCGATTTGATTCGACTGTCTCCCCCTTCGTGTCTGCAACCGTCGTGGTTTTCCTTTGTAACAAGGAATTGCAGCTTTTTTAAATTAAAAGTTTTAATTAAGTCAAAGATACTCAATCCTGACTTTAGCCTCGTATTGGAATACTAGGCTGGATAATTGGGGTCGACAAAGACCTTTTGAAAAAAGAAGTGTGGCGACGGCAAAGCAGGAGATAGATAGACGTCGCCTGCGAAATCCGACAACGACGGTCAGCACCTACAAATTGATCACCAACAATTTAAGAAGAATAGGTACCTGCTTCACGGGGGGCTCCAAGGAGGTGTTGTGGACAACTTCAAGCCAACTGGTCTAGACAGCAACATGGTGCAATACATTATGTGGGGAAAAAATAACGAGGGCAAATACTACATGTCTTGTCTTGAGACGAGCAACGATGACCTACGTACTCGAGTAGCAACGGGTGCATGCTAGATTGAGGAAACTCGATTTGGAGGGAGCCCAGTTCAAACCATGGATCACAACACGGAAAGCTCAAGTACGTTGCCAGGAATCTAAATTGGAGCGACTATGGGACGCTCGCCGAGTAAGCTAACAGATCAGTACGGTACTCTACAAAGTTAAACCTTCCAATATTGTCAATTCGAATGAATAATATCAAAATATAATATTCATTAGTTTTTAGTTTGGAAATGTATCCAATAATAACATTATTTCACTATTGAAAATAGTAATACGACACTTTCAAATATAATTTTCAAACAAAAATTCATATTATAATATAAATATGAGAAAAGAAAATATGATTTATATTTATTTAATTATTTATCTTAATAATTTATTTCTTTTAGACATTAGTAAAATTTTATTTCATTACATATAGTATTATTTATTGAATCATTTAAACTTTTGTGTGTTAAGTCGAATTAAACCTAATTATGACATCTATGTTAATGGTCATGAGCAATATAGAATTCTAAATGAAATTGATCTTTGAACCCAAACACGCAATACATCTAGTTTGCAACTAACCGAGTTGCTCCAAAACTCTGCTTCTTAGTTCTTTTTGAGACATAAGACCAGGAGAGCTAGAGGTCGTCCTTGCAATGGATGGTTTGACTTTGATTGCAAGCAAGCGAGGGTGACATCACTTGATAAATCCTTGGATCTTCACAATCGGTTGATTATGACAAGACTTTACAAAGATTTGGTGAATTCTAAGAAACGAGCATTTTTGAGTCAGAAGCAAGATTGCTTGACAAAGTAGCTCTTGGAGAATCCCAAATACTTTTGGAGTCGGTTGGCAGTACAATCTTCTAAACCTACTCTTGATCCCAAGTCTTTGATTTCTTTTGCTGAAAAGCTTTATTTTTTTCCCAATGTTGCATCAATGCCACATTGTGAAGAAAATCCAGGCTTATTTTCAGAAGTTGAAGTGATGACTCAACTCAGACAATTGGCAAATGGTAAATGTGAGGATTTGGATGGGCTTTCCATTGAACTTCTCAAGTGGGGAGGAGATGCTATTGGGCCTATACTCACAAAAGTGTTAGAGGATGCTGCTATTCATGGCTTTCCTTCATCTTGGTCTCTACGGAAAATTGTTCCTATTCACAAATCTGGGAGCAAGGCCTTGGTGACAAACTATCGCACTATCATGGTGGGTAGTATTTTTGCCAAGTTATTTGGCAAATTGGTGGAGTCAAAGTTGAGCACATGGGTTGAATCTTGTCAGAAGAGAGCGCGGTTCCAAGCTGGTTTTCGTCATACATTCAACACTATAGACCATATCTTGGTTTTACGTGTTCTATGGGAAAAATCCAAGGGTAATAGAAAAGCTTTGTTTTGTGCCTTCATTGATTTCAAGAAAGCTTTTGACACAGTACCTCGTGAGCTTTTATGGCAAAGATTGCAAACCATTGGAGTATCATCAGATCTCTTAGCAGCGGTGGCTACATTATACCACTTAGTTCGGGCCAATATCAACACTTCTCAAACCAAAGAGATTATCAGCACCATTGGAGTCATTCAATGTTGTCCTCTCTCTCCTACTCTCTTTGGAGTTTTCATAGATGATATAGAAAGATGGTTGGAGGATTGTGATAGCGAAGGTGTTAAACTTGGAGGCTTTGTCATCAAAGCTCTTTTGTATGCAGATGATGTCATATTACTAGCACGTGATGCCATTAGTTTACAGAAACACTTTGGCTAGCTTTTGTACTCCAAATTAGATGGAGATCAATTTGGAGAAGATCAAAGTCATTCTTGTGGGCACTAGATCCAAGCTTTCTTTCTGTTACAAAGGATTAGAGTTGGAACAAGTGAAAAGTTACAAATATTTGGGCATTGATTTCTCATCTGATTATAGTTGGGCACTTTGTGTGCAAAAGAGGGTAGAAGCTGGTTTCAAAGCTCTATATTCATTGCTAAATAGATGTAGAGGAGCTCATCTAGTGTCTTGGAGTCTTAGGAAATTCTTATTCAAGAGCTTAGTGTTTCCTGTTATCTTATATGGAACACAAGTGTGGGATACTGGTTGTAAGAAGACAGGTTGGCAGCGTTTAGAGAGGGTGCAAAAGATCTTCTTACAAGAAGAATTGGGTGTGAGTACTCAAACTTCTTATGCAATTCTTCTTGCGGAAACAGGTTGTCTATCTCTTGAGGCTGAAGCTCTCTTTTTGACTATCACTTATGTCAAAAGAGTGAGATCTCTTGATGCTTCTTGACTTCCTCTTGAAGCTTTGCGTGCCACACGTACCAAAGGGTGGTTTGCAGATGTGATGACTTGGTCTTTGAGGTGGAATGTGACGGAACTCGATTGGGATTTGCAACCTATTGCCCTACGCGAGCGTATTAAGGAGGATTTTCTCAGCATGATGTGGAGCAGCACCAAGATGCAGTTTTATCAACTTCATGTGAATCCTATGCTTGTTTATTGTGAGCAAGGATACTTACTTGCTGAAATATCTACTTCTTTACGTCATATTATTGCTAGACATAGAACACGATCTCATAGTCTTGGGATTGAAGAAGTGCGTTGGTTGAACATTGATAGGAGTGAACGTATTTGTAGGCTATGTGATGGTAGGAAAGTTGAGGATGAAGAGCATGTATTTTTTACTTGTACTAGATATGTAGAGATTAGAGTGGCTCATAAAGTTATTGTTGAGAATTTTTATTCTTTGTTTCAGCTTGAGCCTTATGATTTAGGTTGTTACATTGGGGATGTTATTTGTTACCGTTCTAATACTTTGGACATTAGTTAGGGGGTTCTATTGGTTCTCTCTTTGTTTGGAGTTGGATTTTTTGTATTGTGTTATTTTGACTTTTGACCCTTTGGGACCCACAGGCTTGATTTATTTACCATTTACATAGGATTGAATCAATTTCAGTTGACAAGTGACATTTCTCAATAATGACATTCAATATATATCATTATTGAGAGATTATATTCAAGGATACTTTAATTCCTAACACCAACATATGTTATTACTAAACTGTACCACGAGACTAAAACATATTTGTCAAGACCCAAAACCAAAGGTGAACGCTGCGCTTGCCGAGGCAGACCTCTATGTGACGATTGCACGAAAGCAGCGAACAGCATCAAACCTCGAGCCAACCCAACCCAACCCACCTCGATTCAACCCACTCACTTACCCACCCAGGTCCCAGGTCAGGTAGACCCACCTGGGCTGCTCGTTTTCACCGTGCCAGAAGTCGCGCAGTCTGCTGCGAATCCATCCGCGAGGCTGTTCTCTGGGGAGGTTGCACCGAACTCCCTTCAGCAGAGGGAGTTCGTCTCCATCCAACTTTGACCGTTACGCCGTGACGACTCGAGAGATGCACTGTGAGCTGCCGGCGCTCACCGTTCATGTCGTCTGCGCCTGCCCCTGATGGTGGGTTGCCGAATAAGCTGCCTACGTACCCACGGTCATACCGACCGGTCAGCGTCCACGTCCACGGCCGCCATGGCGATCGACTGCACCGAAGATTGGACTTTGTGTTGGCTCGGCCGTGGGGCTTCCTTCCTTCCTGGGTCATGACAAACCGGTGCAACCGATCCAGAATCAGGCTACACTCTCCGGGAGCAGGCTGGCCGGTGGCCGCTGCGTGTGACAGCCAGTTACCGGCACCTCGGTTTGCTTTGCTCATATATCAACCTGCTGTGCAAATTGGGAGAAAATGAAATGTCGACCGCGCCTCGTTTCATTCATTCACGCGGTTCTAAACTCCTGCTTCCTTCAACTATGTACCCCGGTTCTTACTGTACCGCGTATGGGGAGTTGGCTTTCAGCTAGATACATAGTATTACATCATAACCTCTGATCTGAGCCCACGTAGTTCGAACATTACCATCGGTACTGATGGGCACACTGAGTTTTCGACTTAACAACAGCGTAAGACGCACGCGCACCTTATTTCGCTTAGCGTATCTAAGGCCAACTGATGCAGAGCAGTTGGCCGCCAATTCCTACCCGCTATATACATCGATTTAAAGCGTTACGTGAGGTTTCGCGTAGTTGGAAATGAGCTTGCGGAGCTATTGTTGACGAAGTATGAAAGTGTAACACACAACTGTCTCGA